CTCATTTAATAAGTATAAAGATACCTTGACGTATTCAAATATTCTCAGAAATTGTATTGTTTCCTAAATAAAATGTCAAACTCGTCTTTCAGGTCGATTTTTGGTCAACTTTGACAGGTCACTACTTTGTCTGTACCCTGCAAAGACTTTTTTTACTGGTTTTTAATTTGCACCGAACCTGAGCGCACTGAACCTAGTAACTCAAACTTTTCATTTCTAGAAATTCGCATTTACAAAAAAAAGCAAAAAATAACCTCCCTCATGACGTTTTTGGTTGCTTTAGTGGCCGTGAACTAGGGGAGGGGTAGTGAGCTGAGCGAGCGCTCACGGCTGCCGCACTCCGTGTCGACGGCGCGAGAGGACGCCACGAAAGCATATTCTGGATATGCTGTATGCAGCGGGCAGCCAGAGCGGCTGTCATTGCATTTGCTGCGCGATTAAATACTAATTCGGAATGACACTTCACTGGTCACAAACGACAGCAAACACGGGGTAATGATCAGTTCAGAATGGGAGTCACTTCGCGCTGCCATACCGCGAAACGGCCGAACCGCAAGGCAAAGCTTCTCGCCAAAGGCCTTCGGAACGCTCGGAGCCGGTCGGGTCCTCCTGTCCTCCTGTCCATACGACCGCAGCGCCGCTGCATACATCCCGGACCGTTCCATGTCGGCGCCTGATCCCACTACTCCTTTCTAGTGTGCGCCGCCTTTTCCACCGATTGTTGGCGGGTATGTCGACGGGTCACTTCTTTCTCTACCTTATAAACTGCATTCGTTTTTTTTTATCTAAAACACTGAACAAAAACTACTTTTATAAATAATTGAAACGGTTCGCGCCACTTATATTTTGTATTTCGACTAAAAGGGGCCCTGCAATCGTATTTAAGCGTCTACCTTTTTTGCGGTTTCCGCGTCTCTTGGGGTTCCGGCAAGCCAGCGGGCACGGAGAGAGTAACTAAATATCAGTGCGTCATATTTTAACCGGACGACGCGGTAACCTCCTCCACCGACGAGGGCGACCCGCGGTACCGAAAGCGCGCAAAATGTGACGTCTTTGGTCCTGGGCTTACTACTGGTCAGTGCCGCTAAAAGCTTGTTCGTAGTTGAAATACAAAATATAAGTGGCGCGAACCGTTTTAATTATTTATGAAATTAGTTTTTGTTCAGTATTTTAGATCAGAAAAGAAACGAATGCAGTTTATGAAGTACAGAAACAAGAAAAGACCCGTTGACAAACCCGCCACCAAGCGGCGGAAAAAACGGCGCATTCTAGAAAGGGCTAGTGGGATGACGCTCCGACAAACGGCGAGCGCAGAAAGGTCCCGGATGTACGCGGCGGCGCTGCGGACGTATACCGGCTCGAGGATCTGACCGGTTCTGAGCGTTCCGAAGGCTCTCAGCGCGGGCTTGGCTGGCGATTTGGCCATTTGGCGGTATGGCAGCGCGAAGTGACTCCCGTTCTGAACTGATCTTTACCCAGTCTTGGGTAGTAACGCGTTACTGTAATTTCGTTACTTTTTTGGTAACTTGTAACTAACGAGTTATTTTTTAAAAATGTAACTTGTAACTGTAGTCCTATTACTTTTTCTGAGGTAACGATAAAAGTAACGACGCTACTTTTGTCGTTACTTTCCAGTTTTTTTATAAATAATATATCAGTGAACAAGTACAGTCTAGCTGTTCCTTGCACTTTCCAAATTGTCTGTTCCGACGTTTCGAGTGTGAAGCTGGCCTTGCCCAAACTAGTAAATACGTTCTTTCTCGCGAGTCACGACCCGAACATAGCCACGTGTAGATGCGATGCAAAAAAAAAAATAGTTTTCTTTACGCATGCGCTTGTACTTTGTGACTGAACACTTTCATGTTAGTATCTTGAAACACTATCAATGTTGCCGCGGTTCTTTTTTTTGAGCAAACGCTTTTTAATCGGGTGAATCAACCGTGAAACAATACACACGAACGGCACTGCGAATGTTCCGTATTTGTTCCGCACTGCGCATGTTTCGTATTTTGATTTGCGCCACTAGTCCGGCATGGTGTCAACAGTAGAGGGAAAATTTACTGCTGTTTGTGCGTGGTTTGCCCGTTCCTCTGGTTGCGCGGGGTCTGTTCAACAAGCGCGGGGTCTGTTCAACAAGGGCAGGGACCTGTTCGCCGTCAAACGAGGGAAACATTTAGACACTAATTTCGAGAAGCAAGTGCTGCTAAGTTACAATACGAAGTAAAAAACATACTTTTTAATTTTATGCAATAAAACTTGGTGATGAGCGTTTTCTAGTTTTTCTAAATTTTTCGTTATAGAAAAGTAACAACAGTAACGTCGTTACTTTTTAAAAGTAGCTATAACTGTAACGAGTTACTCCTTTGTTGCGGTAACTGTAACGGTAACTTTGCAACTTTTTTCTGAAAGTAGCTGTGACGGATTACTTTTTAAAAGTGACTTACCCAAGACTGTTTTTACCACGTGTTTGCTGTTTATGGCCAATGAAGTGTTATGCCGAATTAGTCTTTAATCGCGCAGCAAGTGCAATGCGAGCCGCCCTGGCCACCCGCTTCATACAGCCTATCCAACACGTACTTTAGTGGCGCCCCCTCGAGTCGTCGACACAGAGTGCGGCAGCCGTGAGCGCTCGATGAGCTCACTCCTCCTCCTCTAGTTCACGGCCACTCAAGCCAGGACCTACGACGTCACGAAGGAGGTTATTTTTTGCTTGATTTTGTAATTCTAATTTGCCTGTAACTTTTAAAATAAAGCGAAATTTAAGAAAGAAAAAGTTTCTTTAAGTTACCACGTTCAGTGCGTTCAGGTTCGGTGCGAATTAAAAACCAGTCAAAAAGTTGTTGCAGGGCCCCTTTAAGGTACTCCGGCGATTTTTTGAGCGACCTCAACTAACTATATTTTCTGACTCCCTGGCCTTTACCCTTTCCGGTACGCTATTTAGTATTGCGAAATACAAAATAGTTATTGCGAAATCGGCAAATGAAAATGGTGCAAGAACCAACATTCAAATATACCCGCACTTTTCAGTGCCGTGACGTCAGTGGCGGGCAGGCTTGCCAGTGGAGTGAGCAGTCTAAAAAATAGAATATGCCAATCATTTGTTCTATGCTGGAGCGCGGGGACTGGAGCGAGCTTCCAAAGCATTCATTTGACACCATGAAAGTGCTTCGAATTAGTTGGGAACAAAGTCTACAGTCCAAAGAGTGAACCCCTGCACTTCCACTGACGTCACTTTTTCGTTGTTGCCAGTAGAGACTTTCAGTTTGAAAAACACAGTGAGGACCAAAATTGTAAATTCAATAACTTCGTGAAAAAAAATCATTTTAACCTAATATTTGGGATACTATTCTGGCGATGTTATTAGGCGAGTTTAGCAAAATTTTAAGCAAATCGGGGACCATGAAGAAATCGCCTGAGTACCCCTTTAAGGGACAGGATGTCCCTTCCAACTTTTCAAAACATCCTCTACTGTAAAGTTTACTTTCATTGGGAAAAACGAGTACTGTAAGGACGTCAACAATAAGGAGGAATGTTTTGCCCCTTTTAAAACGAAAATCCATCAAAATCGGTCAGCCGACCACGAACGATTGTTTTATAACTTTGTGACCGTAAAAACGCTTGGAAGATTATTGTATTTTTTTTGTGTTTGAAATAAAACGCTTTCAATACATTTTAAGATGTCGTAATCTTGCAAGCTGCTCCTAAACTCTAGATAGGCAGACGCAGTGCCTTCGCCTTGAGCTCGTACATTCGAGCGCACGATTTTTTGGTATCTGCAGATATCTTAAATATGGCTACTTTATGGCTATATGAATTTCTTGCGTTTGTCTACTTTTGGGCTACACCGTCTGGCATTTTTACGGTTTTAGCTAGAACCTACCTGGCGGCCCTGATGAAAATCTTAAAACTACAGCTGCGCTTTTTTGGACACAACTGTTCACACACCGTGGTGGCAGAGGTGAACTTCGAGGACAGAAAGATGCAGTTCAACGATCGGATGGCACCCAGGAAAACCAGACGGAAGAGAAAACCGCCACGGAGAGCACAATGGCGAAAAAGGTCTACCTCGAAAACGTTCAACTGCTGTTGCAAGGTGAGAGCGCTACGGCATCATATCAGGACTTCGCATGCGCAACGCGGGAATACAGTTAAGCACCTTTCTTCGCGCGATAGGGAGAGAAGCTGTGGACTTTTTCACTAACTGACGCCAGTGGCCGATCTTCCTTCATCTCACGAATACTACCTCTGAAGAAGCGATTCAATCGTCGCAAGGAAGTGGCTAAACCCAGAAGCGTGTACGTCATCGAACCTATTATTTAGTTTTATACTCCAAGTTTTTGACAATAAAGACTCGTCAAGCTTCCAGTTTGTGTCGTGTTTCGTTGTTGCTGGAGTTGGCACCAGGGGTAACTGAGACTAACTCCAACTGGAACCAGTTGTAACTGGGAGCAATTCCAGCTGGGACCAGTTGTAACTGGGACCAGTCACAACTGCCAGCTGGAACTAGTAACTGATCCATAAACCAGTTGAACTGGGACCAGTTGGAGGGTGAGGGTGACCTGAAATGCCAACCTCGATCTGACCAGGATTCACGTGCACATGAAGAAACTGACCATCATCAAAACGAAGCTGCACATTTGGAGCCCACAAATATCGAGAGTATAGCTCTAGGCTTCGTTTTGTGATTGAATGTAACTTATGGATAGAAATAGCTTGGTTGTAGCATGATTCCTGTCTAGATTATTGTTATTAGTTCGTTTGAAGGAATCGAGAAATACGATATTTAACTATGAGGTACTTCGCAATCCTGGGAAGCTTGTTGTGAGTGGGGCTAAATTTTCTTCAAGCAAAAGTATCGCTTCTCGGCCTTTTGGCTAAGATCAAAGTGTAGCCCGAGGTGGCTAGATCAATGCCGGCCGAGTAGCACTGTACACCTGCCCTCGGGCGGGTGTTGCCTTAGGGCTTAATGTAGCCTTCGGGCTTTGTCCACCTCCCCCCCCCCCCCTTTGGGGGGGTTGTAATTTTATCCTTCAAAGTATCTGTTCTTATCAGCTTAATATCTGATATGGACCTAATTGGTCCAAGATATTAAACTTATTTTTGTGCACGGTGTTCCTCCGAAGCTTGCTTCGAGGTCGCCAGGGTTGGCCCGGTATTGCACTACCTCCGGGAGCGGCCCGTCCCCCTCTGGGGGAAAATAATGAATTCCAAAGTCAGATCGTAAATAATTGTCTCGGCCTTGCGGCTAAGATGATCGCTTCTCGGCCTTTTGGCTAAGATCAAGTGTAGTATCGCTTCTCGGCCTTTTGGCTTTGATCGAGTTTCGAGTTCGTCGACAGTTTCTGCACAAGAATCGTCTCCCTGTGACCCACGTCCCTCAGTCGCGCGTCAACGGGGCCCCCACCCTACTGCCACGGAAGATGCCGCCGCCATCCCAGGCCCCGCCGAAGGCTCAGTCTTTCGTGTTCTCGGCACCCGCCGAAGTCCCTGTCGATGAAATAATCGACAGCTTGTATGGCCTCGTTGGTGAGGACAGTTTGACGCACTTCCAACACTTCGGTGCAATGAAGTTCCTGGCTGCAGTCGGTTCGACGGCAGCTGCAGACAAGATGGTAGCGCAGGGCCACCTGCTGCTTCGAAACGTCGTGGTCCCGCTCGAACAAGTAGGACCGCGTATCATCCACGTGACGGTCTTCCGGCTCCCTCCCTACGTCCCCGACGACGCCCTCCAAGCAGTCTTCAGTTCTTACGGGAAGGTGCTCGCCATTTCTCACCTGACCTACATAGACCGGCCAAAGCTTTTCACCGGCACGCGAGTCCTCCGCATGGAGATGAAGACGCCCGTGCCGAACTTCGTCAACGTAGGAGGACACCGTGTGATGTGCGAATACCGAGGAATGAAGAAGGTCTGTGCCCGCTGCGGCCTGGAGGGCCACTTTGGAGCCGCTTGTCGCACACCACGCTGCGACCGGTGCGGCGTCTTCGGCCATAGCACTGACGGCTGTAATGCCCCGTGCAAGCGTTGCGGTCACAACCACGCCACCACGGATTGCACGCAGCGCCGGAGTTACTCGGCAGTGATTCGTGACGAGGGTCCTTCGGATCCTAGGCCCCCTGCGCTGACGGCACCCGACCCGCCCGACAGCACTCCGGGTGCTCCACCTCAGCCTGCAGAGACCCACCCGACCGCCGCCGTGACCCAACCGGACGCTCCCCAGGTACCACCAGCCGCGCTTTCGGAGGCCAGCGGGCGCGACGGCCCCAACTCGGAAGCGGAGTCCCTCCCCCCCCTTGTCATCGACGAGTCGGCAGAAAGCGAGTCGCCCGCAAGCCCAGAAGCCCAAACGGGAGCAGCCACTGCCTCCTCCTCGACAAGCGACCCAGGTGTGAGGCCACGAACACCCGTGGAATCTGCCACCGACAATACGGAAAGCATGGAGTCGTCGCCGTCAGAGAGCGACTCTGCCAGCTTCCCGGCGCTGGACCAAGCGGCCAAAAGGGGCCCCCCCTCCTCGTCAGACTCTGGACCTGGCCCCATACGCTTGTCGGGTACGAAGAAAAAGGTTCGACGTCTGAGTCTGATAGACCGTCCCGTCATTGGACGCCAACCCCCGTAACTAAGAGGCCTTACTCGTCACTAATTCTATGTCGCGTTCCAGTCTTTTTCTTTCGACCATGTTAGTGTTTTTTCTCTTTGTAATGGCCCTTCGTATCTTATCCCTCAACGTCCAGGGTTTTCGGAGTGAGGATAAGCAACGTGAAGTTGTTCATTTCGCCCGTAGTTTAGGCTGCGACCTTCTTTTTTTGCAAGAAACTAACTTTTACTGTGCTCGCGATGTCAAAGATTTTAAAGCTCGTTTTTCTTTTCCTTGTTATTTTTCTTACAGTTCGTCGCGTTGCACGGGTGTGGGGGTGATTTTTTTTCGATCGTGCTTATTCACTAGTAGTTTTTGCACTTTCGACCTAGACGGCCGCGTTATCTGTCTCGATCTTTATCTCGGTTCGCAACCGGTGCTCGTGATCAACGTTTATGCGCCCGCTCAACCAGCGTTTTCACATTCCTTTTTCGCATCGCTAGACGTGTTTCTTTTAGAGGGCCATCCTTTTATTCTTCTTGGGGATTTCAACTGCGTCATTAATTCTTTCCAAGACGTCCGGGGGCGGGGCTGGGGCCGCTCGACATGGAACGCAAAAGAATTAGACCGCCTTGTTTGTCAGTTTCAGTTAGTGGACGCCTGGGAGGTTAAAAACCCTAACGTCTTTGGGTACACCTGGGCGCGTCGTGGCTCCTACAGCCGTCTGGATAGGGCTTACCTCCCCGCGAACTTCCCGTTCCCTGTGGCCCGGTGTGAGATCGTGCCCCTCCCGCCTGGCACGCGGTTTATCTCAGACCACCGCGCACTGCTCCTGGCACTGGCGGTTCCTGAGTACCGGGCTGGAAGAAGCGCCCTGTGGCGCATGGACGTGAATCTACTTCGGGATCCGTCTTCCGTTGCTGAACTGCGTAACAGCATCGCAGAAACTTTGAGTCAACAACCCTTCGACCCCACCCAGTGGGACGGCCTGAAAGCCGCCTGACAGGCCTTGCTGGCCTCGGCTGGCAGAAGCCGTAGAGCTCGGCAAACCGCAACTCTGAACGACCTGATAAGGCGGATCCGCATTGTTCAGCGGGGTGGGGCAGGGACCTTGCTCATGCAAGAGTACCTGAGCGTGCTTCGGGCGCGCTCAGCCGTGTATTTAGGTACAACTCTCGAACCGCCAGTGCCCAATTTCTGAGGGGTAGACCTGTGTCCGACCCCGAGGTTCTGAGGTATTTACACGTGTCTGGTGGGGAGGGCGGGGCCTCTACGCGGGTTTCGGAGGTGGTCCTGCCGGACGGCAGTATGTCATCCAGGCAGGATGACATAGACACCGTGTTCCGGGAGTTTTTCTCTCGCTTGTACGCTTCAGCTCAAAGCGATACCCCTTGTGAATTTGCCGCGGGCGTAAGTCAGTTTTGTGGGGACCTCCCCGACGTTCCGACTGAGATGAGCGAGAGGTTGGCGCGTCCCGCCACCCGTCAGGAGGTGGTGGACGTTTTGCGTGCCATGAAGACCGGCTCGGCCCCGGGTCCGGATGGCTTGCCTACGGAATTTTACTCCAAGTTTTGGGATGTTTTGGGCGACGCGCTAATCAAGGTTATTAACACATTCCTAGTTTCGGGCTACGCCCCCGATTCCTTTAAAATTGGACGAGTTATTTTAATCCCTAAGACGGGAGTTTCTGGCTCTGATCCTCAATCGTGGCGGCCAATCACGCTACTAAACGCGGATTACAAGATACTAACCAGTCTGTTAAGTAAGCGACTTCGCGATATTTTGCCCGTGATCATTAGTCCGTTTCAGACGTGCAGCGTCCCCGGGCGCACGATCTTTTCTTCTTTAACTTTAACGAGGGACCTTTTTGCATACGCGTGTTCAAGATCTCTTAACGGTTGTTTCATTTCTCTTGATCAAACCAAAGCTTTTGACAGAGTTGAGCACAATTACCTCTTTTGTGTCTTAGCTAAGTTTGGATTTTCTAGTCTGTTTATAAATTTGTTAGAAAGTTTGTACTCAAACATGTCTAGTGAGCTTTTAGTAAACGGGCGCCTGACAGCGGCTTTCCCCGTAACGAGAGGAGTGCGTCAGGGCTGCCCGTTATCGCCACTGCTTTTTGTTTTGTGTATCGATCCTTTGCTTCGTAGAATTCACACAAGCGAAAATGTTCGGGGTTTTCCGCTTCCGGGGCTAAGTACAGTCTCTGTCTCAGCGTATGCTGATGATGTTTCTTTATTTTGGCGCGACAGTGACAGTTTTCTGGCAGTAGATCGTATCTTTTCAAACTACTCCGCGCTGTCTGGGGCTCAATTGAACCCCAGGAAAAGCCAAGCTTTGTCTTTTGGTTCGTTCCCGCGTTCTTCACTTGGCGCTGCCTCGCTGCCTCGCTGTCTCGCTGTCTCGCCGCCTCGCTGTTTCGCCCAGTTCGTCGCCCTCTGTTGCATCCCCGGGACCGCGTTTGTTCGTGGTCCCCGGGGTTGTCGGTTTTCCAACGATGGCGTCCACGGTACTACCAGCCAAGGGTATGTGTTTCTCGTTCAGCGTCCCTGCCGACACCGCCGTCGACGAGATTATGGAGGCTTTCCAAGTAACCGCCGGTTCCGGAGGTTTGAAGTTCCTGCAACACCAAGGTGGAACACGGTTTCTGTCGTCGGTGACCAGCATCGGTGCAGCGAACCGCCTTGTAGCCCAAGGGAACTTGGTGCTCCGTGACGTTGCGGTGCCACTCGAAGCAGTCGGCGTCCACGTCCTTCATGTCTCCATTTATCGTCTCCCGCCGTATGTCACGGAGAAAGCCGTCGTGCAAGCCATCGCCCCGTTCGGAAAAGTAAAGTCCATCACGTACGTGTCGTACCGAGACCGTCCCGACATTCTCACAGGAACGAGGGTGGTCAAGGTGGAAATGGCGAAGCCCATACCAAACTTCATCACCATCCAAGGGCACCGTGTAATGGTGGATTATCGTGGACTGCGACGTGTGTGCAGCCGTTGCGGACAGGAAGGGCACATCGGGCCAGCCTGCAAGACCGCACGCTGCGAACGTTGCGCCGTTTTCGGGCATCCAACAGCGGGCTGCACCGCCCCTTGTTTGCGGTGCGGTCACGCCCACGCAACAGCGGACTGTACCCAGCGTAGGTCATACGCCGCTGTGGCCCACCCAGCGGGAGCCTCTCGACCCCACCAGCCATCGCAGGGTGCCGCAGGCAAGAGCTCCCCTGTTTCTGAGGAGCTCAGCGACAATTTGGACCCCTCCATCCGTCTGCGGGATTGTCCTCTGGCCCCAAGTGACACGCCCTCCGGTGACTCATCGAGTGCGTTTTCCTCTGTCACCTCTACCGCCGTCAAGTCGCCCGATGTGTTTTCTATGGAAACCCCTGTGCAAGCCATCGTCAAAGCGCAAGTCACCGCCGCGACGCCTCCCACTGCCCCACTGCAAGTCACCGCCGCGACGCCTCCCAGTGCCCCAGCGCAAGTCACCGCCGCGACGCCCACCATCGCCCCAGCGCAAGCTGCCGGCGCGGCGCTCCCCGTCGTTCCGACGCAAGATGACGCTGCGGCGTCTCCCGACGGTCTCGACTTCCAGGAGAGTGATGTGGCCAACCCGAGTCATAGCCCCGGTCGCCTGGTCATCTCCGACGACACGGACCTAACCCCGGGCCAACGAGAGCCTTCCGCCCGTTCTGAGCTGTCGCCGTCAACACAACGTGAGTCGTCCAAGTTTTCTTCTTCTGACGAAGGCGAGGACCGTGGTGATGCGAAACGAACTTTTCCGAGCACTAGCAGCGGCTCGGACGGGCCCATCGCGTCCACCGTCAAGAAAAAGCGTTCCGAGCCTCATGACTCGGACGAGGACTACAGCCTCACGTTTTAGCCAATCCTGTGACCATGCTGTTTTGTTCTTATTTCTTTCTTTTTCTGGGCCTGCACGTGATTACCCTAAACGTTCAGGGTTTTCGCTCCCCCAACAAACAACGTGAGGTTGTACATTTCGCTCAGGCGCAACATTGCGATCTGCTTTTTCTTCAGGAAACAAATTTTTTTACCGCACGAGATGTAGCCGAGTTTAAAACAAGGTTTTCTATCCCATGTTACTTTTCTTTTGCTGTGTCACGCTCATGCGGCGTAGGCGTTTTAATTTTTCGCACTTGTTTCCTTAGAGGCGCTTTTTCTCTTTGTGATCCTGACGGCCGCGTCCTTGTATACTCCTTTTTTGTGGGTCATGCTAAGTTTCGGGTAGTGAGTGTGTATGCGCCTGCGCGTGCTTCGGCGTCTAACAGTTTTTTTAGTAGTCTTTTTCAATATGTTCCCGACGACGGTTCCTTTTTGCTTTGCGGGGACTTCAATTGTGTAGAAGATTCTGTTCGAGATGTTCGCGGCCCTGGACGCGGACGTCCCACTTCGAATGCCCGTGAGCTTGTACGAATACTTACGCTCTACGATTTGCGAGATGGCTGGCAGGAGTTGAATGGAACGGCGTACATGTCCACGTGGTCGCGAGGATCCTCGTCGAGCCGTCTGGATCGGGTATATGTTCCTTCCTGCCTAGCTACTCGTATTGAAACCTGCACGGTGCTTTCTTTTCCGACAGCCGCTGGCTACATTTCGGACCATCGCCCGGTGTCCATTGTTTTCGACGTCTCCAGTTTTTTGCAACCGCGAGGCGACACATGGAGAATGGACGTCTCCCTTCTGCGAGATGACCAAGCCCTTTCGAGCCTGCGTCGATCTATAGGGGTGTCATTGACGGTCGTTCCCCTGTCTCACACCCGGTGGGATGGGATCAAGGCTGACTGCCGTTTCCTTGCAATGGCAGCGGGGAAGATGCTTCGACGCAGGACGACCGACGCCCTCAACGAGGTTGTCAACCGCATCCGCGCAGTGCAGCGTGGAGGCGCGCGCACACACCTGATGTCGGAATACCTGGCGGTCCTCCGTGATCGACACCAGCGCCTTTTACGCTTGTCCTCCCGAACGGTTGTAGAGCAGCGACTGCAGGACCGGCCTGTGGATGACCCAGAGGTTCTTCGGTGCCTCCGCGCCGTGAGAACTGGTGGAGGCGGACCGCCTTTCATTCATAATGTCCAACTTGCGGACGGGAGCTTTTCGGACGATCCACACGACATAGACACGGTTTTCAGAGATTTCTTTTCACAATTTTTTTGTTCGGATCACCTTGCATCTGAAAACTTTGCTGAGAAAGTTCGTCAGTTTTGTGGCGACGTTCCTGCTTGCCCCGAGTTCTTGGCCTCGTCTCTCGTGCGTCCCACCGACCGCGATGAACTTTTCGAGATCCTTCGTGCTATGAAGACTGGGTCTGCCCCAGGGCCGGACGGCTTGCCAGCCGAATTTTACGTTTCTTTTTGGGAAATATTCGGGGCCCCTCTTGTCCAGCTGGTCAACGGGATTCTGGAAACGGGCGCCGTTCCGCCATCATTCAAACGTGGTCGCGTGGTGCTCGTCCCTAAGGAAGGTGGCTTACCGTCGGACCCTTCGGCGTGGCGGCCCATAACGCTTTTGAACACCGACTACAAGTTGCTGACGTCGCTGCTTGTTTCCCGTCTGCGCCACATTTTGCCCCATGTTGTAAGCTCAACACAGACGTGTTCCGTACCCGGCAGGAACATCTTTTCGTCCCTGTCCCTCACGCGGGATCTTTTTTTGTACGCCAATTTTACACACCTGTCAGGGTGCTTCGTCTCTCTCGATCAGGCCAAGGCCTTCGATCGAGTCGAGCACTGTTTTTTGTTTGAAGTTCTGAAAGTTTTTGAATTTCCTGACGCTTTTATAGACTTGCTGCGATCTCTGTACAGTGGGTTGACAAGCCATCTTCAAGTAAATGGGCGGATCCTTGCTCCCTTTTCCGTGACAAGGGGAGTACGGCAGGGTTGCCCCCTGTCTCCTCTGCTTTATGTCCTAAGTCTGGATCCTCTCCTCCGACGCCTTGCGTCTTGCTCCCGTATACGCGGCTTTCCGTTACCCGGCCGCGGTGATGTCGCGGTTAGCGCGTACGCCGACGATGTCAGTTTGTTTTTGCGTGACTCGCAGAGCTTTGAGTCCACTGCGCAGTTTTTTTCAGAGTACGGTTTCCTTTCGGGAGCGCGTTTAAACACCTCCAAAAGCCAAGCTCTTCGTTTCGGAAGCTCCCCTCCTTCCTTACATGCAGACATCCAAATTGTAGCCGTGGTTCGTGTCCTAGGAGTGTTTTTTGACTGTTGTGGAGTGTCGCCACGCACGTGGGAGACTATAACCACTGCGCTCGAGCGCCAGGTTGCCGTGGCGGAAACGTTTTCGTTGTCGCTTCGTGACAGAGCGTATCTTGTGAGAGCAGTTTTTTGCGGTCAACTTTTCTATGCGGCCCATGTCGGCCTCCCTCCACCTCGGTTTTGCCGGCGTGTAACGACTTGCCTTTTTAGGTTTTACTGGAGCCAGGGCACGGAGGTCGTGACCAGAGCTGTCCTCCGCCTCTCGACGTCACTCGGAGGAAGGGGAATGCCTTGTATCGATACCATGTCGCGAGTACTCGCGCTTCGCACCATCTTGGGGGTGCTTGACGACACAGAACACCCGGCGCGCTGTTTGGCATTGTATTTCTTGGGTCCCTCGCGTCGAAGGCTCGTACCTCGGGCCCTAGGAAACCTCTACCCGAGCGCTGAGATAACACCCCCTTTCTACCAAGCGGTGGTGACTTTTCAAGAGGATTTAGGCAAAATGGTGCCAGACCTAATGGTGCGAGACGAGCCACCGTCTCGTATAGTTGAGGAGGTCTGCTTGACGCGGATCACAGCTGATGAGCGAGTACGGGCAAACGCTTTTCCGTGGGACTCCTTGGTTTCCCGCCGTCTTCCTGGGCCCGTGGAGGACCTCGAGTGGCGTCGAGGATGGGGGGTTCTTCCGACAAGGGATCGTCTGCAACGTTGGGGCATGGTGCCTGATTCCCGGTGCCCGAACTGTGGAGAAGTGGAGACGAACTCCCACGTTTTTGCGACTTGCAGCGTTGCGCGATCATTTTGGCGTCTCGTGCACCATGGTTTTCGCGCTCTGGGCATTGCGCACTACGTCTCGGGCCGCCGCTATCCTCGAGGAGGCTTCGCCGTCCTCCTTTTAGCAGTCGGCCAGCATGTGCTGTGGCAAAATCGTTGTGCTGCAGTGGGCCAGCAGCGTCGTACGCGAGCCATGTGGCCTCTGCTGTCCCGTCTTCGTGGTTCCTTGTACCGTTATCTAGACCGCGAACTCTTTTGGCTGGGAGAGCAGGAGTTCCTGAGACGATGGTCCTGCCTCTACGTCCGTTTGGCCAACGGCCGAATCCTTCTTTCTTTCACGCCACTTCCCTTTGTTTGATAAGGCCTTTAGTGAAATGGCATCCGAGTTTGCCGTTTTTATCTCTCCTCATGTATCTTTTTTTTTTTTTCCCTGAATCAGCGTTTTTGGTGCGCTATTTTTGCGTGAGGGATGATATAGTGAGTTCGTTCTCGTGTAAAGTGTACCCGTTGTATCGAAGGGTCCAAAAACTATAAATAAGCTAGAAGACCAGTGTGTGTATTATGTATGTGTCCATTTTCATTGAATCGACGTCAATAAACTTTTTCTGAACAGTATCTGTTCTCGGCCTTTTGGCTAAGATCATTTGTAGTGTGTAGTGATCGCTTCTCGGCCTTTTGGCTAAGATCAAGACCTCACCTGGACCTGCCTCCTGGACCTGCCTCCTGGACCTGCCTCCTGGACCTGCCTCCTGGACCTGCCTCCCGGACCTGCCTCCTGGACCTGCCTCCTGGACCTGCCTCCTGGACCTGCCTCCAGGACCTGCCTCCAGGACCTGCCTCCAGGACCTGCCTCCGGGACCTGCCTCCGGGACCTGCCTCCGGGACCTGCCTCCGGGACCTGCCTCCGGGACCTGCCTCCAGGACCTGCCTCCGGGAGCTGCCTCCGGGATCTATCTGGTCGACCAGGAGCTGGATGGGGGACCCACCCCACCATGGCAGAGCCTTCAGCCTCCCCTGCCGGCCCTGCATGTCGAAGGAGTGGCATACCGATTCGGACGCCACCCACCGTGGCGCCGGCTGGCAGAAGCCCAGCTGTAGGACGGCAGCCGTGGAGGGAGGGAGACACCCTTGGCATCTCCTTCCCAACACCACATGTGTTTAGATGCACAGAAGAGGGGTGCTCCTCTGCCTACTCCGCGGCTGCCTGGACAAGCAGGCGACAGTCCCTGCAGCGGCACTTGGAGGGCGACCATGGTGTGCGGATACGCCGAACGACCAATCACTGCGCACTCTGCTCAGTTACGTTGGGAGCCCGGCCGTCCGCGCACCCATGTCTCGCCAACGGCAACCACACTGCTGCTCCGACCCAACAGCGTCACCAATGTCCGGAATGCGCTGCCTCCTTTCCGTCCAGGAAGGGTCTGGGCAATCACCACCAGTGGCACCGCAAACAGCGGGCCGGTCGGCAGGCCCTTGTTGACCTCGGGGTCCCTGCCAACCATGGAGACACTAGCAGCGGTGTGAGCCACGGCCGACCCACTACCGTGGCATCCTGTCGACCTGCCGGCCCATGTGAGACAGCGCGACGCACCCCGTCCAGCGCCAGCCGCACACGGGCCAGCTACGCAAGCACGCCAGCCCCTGTGGGGTCAACTGTGGAGCCGCCGGACATGCAGCTCACACCCATGGCACTGCCGAGCCCCAACCCCCAGCTACCACCAGAGGCCGAGGTTCCACTTGGAGAAACGACCCGGGACACCACCCCAACCCAGAGCACACCAAAAGACCGGGACACCTTTGCGGCAAGACCACTACAGGGTCTCACCGCCAACGATCCCGCCAAGGACGGCAGTGACACCGAAGCTGCCGAAGCTACTCACGAGGAGGCCCCCTCCAACACCAGGGACCAAGATCCCACGAGCACACCAATGGGTGCAACCTCCAACGACCAGACCGAGGCCGGCAGTGTGACCGTGGGGGCCGATGCTGCCGATGAAGAAGTCCCCACCAACACCGGGGACCGAGACATCACGAGCACACCAAGAAGCTCAACCCCCAACGACCAAACTGACGCCGGCAACGTGACCGAGACCGGTGACGTCGGCCACTGTGAGGACCCTGCCGGCACCTCAGCGCCATGGGAACCAACTGACGAGTCCTGCGTGCTCTCTGAACACACAAAGCGGTTGCGGAGGCTACTCAGGGAACCGGTGTCTGCTGCGGGTTGGAGCAGCTTCACCACCACTCTTGAGGCCGCAATTGAGGCAGTGACGACAGCCGTGAAGCTCCCCTCCGCAACATCTGGAGGGAGGCCTCGCCGTGAAGTCAATCCCAACTGCCCGCAGCAGATCCAGTCCCTGTACCGCCGCAACCGCCGCCGGGCAGTGAGACTCATCGTCGAGGGTCCCTCCACGCAGTGTCCAGTCCCACTGGACGAGCTCCAGGCCCACTTTACCACCACATGGGCCCCTAGGGAGGTCGACACGGACCTCCTCATGGCCCGAGTGCCAGCGGCAGGCGAGGTATCCATGGCTGCCTTCACCGACGACGAGGTGGCGACCCGCCTGCGACGCTGCGAGAGTACGGCACCCGGGGGCGACCGCTTGATTTACCAACACTGGCGAACTGTCGATCCCGAGGCCTCCTTCCTTGCGGCGGCATTCAACATCTGCCTACGTCATCGCCGCGTGCCAGACACCTGGAGGGAGTCGAGAACGATCCTCATCTACAAGAAGGGAGATCGGCAAGACCCCGCCAACTGGCGCCCAATCTCCCTTGGTTGCACAGTCGCGAAGCTCTACGCCGGATGCTTTGCGGCTCGTCTGCAGCAGTGGCTGTCTGACCACCGCGTCCTGTCACGGTGCCAGAAAGGATTCATGCCACACGACGGAGTGTTTGAACACAACTTCGTGCTGCAGGAGCGCTTGGATGCGGCCCGGACGGGCGGTGGAGACCTTTGTGTGGCGTTCCTGGACTATGCCAACGCCTTCGGGTCGGTCGCCCACAATGCTCTCGTCGACGCGGTCCGGGGACCTGGTGCCGGGGAGGCATTCGCCTCCATAGTGGAAGACCTGTACAGCGGCAACACGACATCCATCGTCGGTGAGGCGGGCATCACGGAGCCCATCAACATCTCAGCCGGGATCGGACAGGGCTGCCCACTGAGCGGGCTGCTGTTCAACTTGGTTCTTGATCCTGTCATCAGGGCGGTGCAGGGAGGCGAAGGGCAGCACAACATCCTCGCCTACGCCGACGACCTCACCCCCTTGGCCGACGACCCAGGGACACTGCAGGAGCGCATCAACATCGTGGCGGCCCTCTCCTCCCGGATTGGGCTCCGGCTGAACCCGGCCAAGTGCAGGACCCTTCACCTCTCCGGCCAGCACCCTGTCGGCACGAGACCCACCCGCTCCTCATCGAGCGTGAGCCTGTCCCGGCCATCGGGGACTTCGTGGGACACGCCTTCCTGGGCAGACCCGTCGGGTACAGGGTGCTCCACGACGATGCAACCATCAGCGATGCCGTGGACCTCGGCAAGCGCCTCCTCAACTCTGTGCTCGCTCCGTGGCAGAGGCTGGATGCGGTAAAGACGTTTTTCTTTCCCGCGCTCAACTTTGCCATGAGGGTGGGCATCCTAGGAAAGGTGGAATGGCGGAGACTGGACGACGCACTGCGCCCGCTGCTCAAGCGCACGCTGTAGCTGCCAAGCAACGCCTGCAACGAATACCTGTATGGGAGCGCGGCGGCAGGTGCGGCGGGCATACCTGTAGCGGCGGACACAAGCGATGCCTGCCGAGTCGACGGAGCCTTCAAGCTCCTCTCCTCCGCCGACGCCGAGATCCGCGACATGGCCCTCCGAGCCGTGACCCAGGTGGTGTCAAAACGCCTACGGCGGGTTGCGGCTGCAGAGGACGTCGAGAGGTACCTGACCGGGGAGACCGAGGGCGACTTCCGGGCCACCTCAACGCAAGTCCAGTCTGTGTGGACCGAGGCCCGGAAGGCCTCCCGCCGCCTTGAAGTGGGGTGGGAGCTGCAGCTCGACGGTGCCCGAATCACTTGCGGAGACGTCTCGGTCTCCGCCAAACATCGCCACAGGGTGATCCGGACCCTCCGGCTCATCCTGACAGCAGCACGGGACACGGCCCTCCAGCAGAAGCCCAACCAGGGCAAGGTGATGGAGTGTGTCGCCTCTGACCCAACCAGTTCCCACTTCATGAGGTCAGGGCGGCACACTCGGTTCGCCGACTGGAGGTTTGTGCACCGTGCCCGGCTGAACCTGCTTCCCTTGAACGGCACACGCCCGTGGGCCGGAGCTGCCGACCAGCGGTGCAGAGCCTGCGGCTATCCCCGGGAGACGCTGCCACACGTCCTCTGCCACTGCATGGTGCAGAGCCGGGCCCTCACGGACAGGCATGACCAAGTGGTGAGCCGTATCAGGGCTGCAGCCGCTGGCCGGTTCACCATAACTCATGAGAACCAGCCCGTCGGCGGCACAAGCCTGCGACCTGACCTGGTGCTCGTCCGGGGTGAAGAGGCCCTCATCATCGACGTCTGCTGCCCCTTCGAGAACCGTCGCGCCGCACTGGAGGAAGCTCGCCTACAGAAGATCACCAAGTACGAGCCCGTGCGGCAGCTTCTACTGCGGCGGTTCCAGAGGGTGGCAGTGGAGGCCGTGGTGGTGGGGGCGCTCGGGTCGTGGGACCCTGCTAACGACCGAGTCATGCGTCGCCTGTGTAGCAAACCACATGCACGGACCCTGAAGAGACTGATAGTCAGCGAGACTATAGCAAAATCGAGAGACATGTACGTAAAACACGTCGGGAAGTGAGGACCATCGATGTTCACACAACTTCCCCCTCCCCTTTTTTTCATTTTTTTTTCATTTATTGTTTTTGAATGTTACAGCTTATTTTATGCAATGAACAAGTGTTAGAGATGTAATTTTTTATGTAACAAGCATCAATAAAAATCTGTTCTTATCAGCTTAATATCTGATATGGACCTAATTGGTCCAAGATATTAAACTTATTTTTGTGCACGGTGTTCCTCCGAAGCTTGCTTCGAGGTCGCCAGGGTTGGCCCGGTATTGCACTACCTCCGGGAGCGGCCCGTCCCCCTCTGGGGGAAAATAATGAATTCCAAAGTCAGATCGTAAATAATTGTCTCGGCCTTGCGGCTAAGATGATCGCTTCTCGGCCTTTTGGCTAAGATCAAGTGTAGTATCGCTTCTCGGCCTTTTGGCTTTGATCGAGTTTCGAGTTCGTCGACAGTTTCTGCACAAGAATCGTCTCCCTGTGACCCGCGTCCCTCAGTCGCGCGTCACCGGGGCCCCCACCCTACTGCCACGGAAGATGCCGCCGCCATCCCAGGCCCCGCCGAAGGCTCAGTCTTTCGTGTTCTCGGCACCCGCCGAAGTCCCTGTCGATGAAATAATCGACAGCTTGTATGGCCTCGTTGGTGAGGACAGTTTGACGCACTTCCAACACTTCGGTGCAATGAAGTTCCTGGCTGCAGTCGGTTCGACGGCAGCTGCAGACAAGATGGTAGCGCAGGGCCACCTGCTGCTTCGAAACGTCGTGGTCCCGCTCGAACAAGTAGGACCGCGTATCATCCACGTGACGGTCTTCCGGCTCCCTCCCTACGTCCCCGACGACGCCCTCCAAGCAGTCTTCAGTTCTTACGGGAAGGTGCTCGCCATTTCTCACCTGACCTACATAGACCGGCCAAAGCTTTTCACCGGCACGCGAGTCCTCCGCATGGAGATGAAGACGCCCGTGCCGAACTTCGTCAACGTAGGAGGACACCGTGTGATGTGCGAATACCGAGGAATGAAGAAGGTCTGTGCCCGCTGCGGCCTGAAGGGCCACTTTGGAGCCGCTTGTCGCACACCACGCTGCGACCGGTGCGGCGTCTTCGGCCATAGCACTGACGGCTGTAATTCCCCGTGCAAGCGTTGCGGTCACAACCACGCCACCACGGATTGCACGCAGCGCCGGAGTTACTCGGCAGTGATTCGTGACGAGGGTCCTTCGGATCCTAGGCCCCCTGCGCTGACGGCACCCGACCCGCCCGACAGCACTCCGGGTGCTCCACCCCAGCCTGCAGAGACCCACCCGACCGCCGCCGTGACCCAACCGGACGCTCCCCAGGTACCACCAGCCGCGCTTTCGGAGGCCAGCGGGCGCGACGGCCCCAACTCGGAAGCGGAGTCCCTCCCCCCCCTTGTCATCGAAGAGTCGGCAGAAAGCGAGTCGCCCGCAAGCCCAGAAGCCCAAACGGGAGCAGCCACTGCCTCCTCCTCGACAAGCGACCCAGGTGTGAGGCCACGAACACCCGTGGAATCTGCCACCGACAATACGGAAAGCATGGAGTCGTCGCCGTCAGAGAGCGACTCTGCCAGCTTCCCGGCGCTGGACCAAGCGGCCAAAAGGGCCCCCCCCTCCTCGTCAGACTCTGGACCTGGCCCCATACGCTTGTCGGGTACGAAGAAAAAGGTTCGACGTCTGAGTCTGATAGACCGTCCCGTCATTGGACGCCAACCCCCGTAACTAAGAGGCCTTACTCGTCACTAATTCTATGTCGCGTTCCAGTCTTTTTCTTTCGACCATGTTAGTGTTTTTTCTCTTTGTAAATGCCCTTCGTATCTTATCCCTCAACGTCCAGGGTTTTCGGAGTGAGGATAAGCAACGTGAAGTTGTTCATTTCGCCCGTAGTTTAGGCTGCGACCTTCTTTTTTTGCAAGAAACTAACTTTTACTGTGCTCGCGATGTCAAAGATTTTAAAGCTCGTTTTTCTTTTCCTTGTTATTTTTCTTACAGTTCGTCGCGTTGCACGGGTGTGGGGGTGATTTTTTTTCGATCGTGCTTATTCACTAGTAGTTTTTGCACTTTCGACCTAGACGGCCCCGTTATCTGTCTCGATCTTTATCTCGGTTCGCAACCGGTGCTCGTTATCAATGTTTATGCGCCCGCTCAACCAGCGTTTTCACATTCCTTTTTCGCATCGCTAGACATGTTTCTTTTAGAGGGCCATCCTTTTATTCTTCTTGGGGATTTCAACTGCGTCATTAATTCTTTCCAAGACGTCCGGGGGCGGGGCTGGGGCCGCTCGACATGGAACGCAAAAGAATTAGACCGCCTTGTTCGTCAGTTTCAGTTAGTGGACGCCTGGGAGGTTAAAAACCCTAACGTCTTTGGGTACACCTGGGCGCGTCGTGGCTCCTACAGCCGTCTGGATAGGGCTTACCTCCCCGCGAACTTTCCGTTCCCTGTGGCCCGGTGTGAGATCGTGCCCCTCCCGCCTGGCACGCGGTTTATCTCAGACCACCGCGCACTGCTCCTGGCACTGGCGGTTCCTGAGTACCGGGCTGGAAGAAGCGCCCTGTGGCGCATGGACGTGAATCTACTTCGGGATCCGTCTTCCGTTGCTGAACTGCGTAACAGCATCGCAGAAACTTTGAGTCAACAACCCTTCGACCCCACCCAGTGGGACGGCCTGAAAGCCGCCTGACAGGCCTTGCTGGCCTCGGCTGGCAGAAGCCGTAGAGCTCGGCAAACCGCAACTCTGAACGACCTGATAAGGCGGATCCGCATTGTTCAGCGGGGTGGGGCAGGGACCTTGCTCATGCAAGAGTACCTGAGCGTGCTTCGGGCGCGCTACAGCCGTGTACTTAGGTACAACTCTCGAACCGCCAGTGCCCAATTTCTGAGGGGTAGACCTGTGTCCGACCCCGAGGTTCTGAGGTATTTACACGTGTCTGGTGGGGAGGGCGGGGCCTCTACGCGGGTTTCGGAGGTGGTCCTGCCGGACGGCAGTATGTCATCCAGGCAGGATGACATAGACGCCGTGTTCCGGGAGTTTTTCTCTCGCTTGTACGCTTCAGCTCAAAGCGATACCCCTTGTGAATTTGCCGCGGGCGTAAGTCAGTTTTGTGGGGACCTCCCCGACGTTCCGACTGAGATGAGCGAGAGGTTGGCGCGTCCCGCCACCCGTCAGGAGGTGGTGGACGTTTTGCGTGCCATGAAGACCGGCTCGGCCCCGGGTCCGGATGGCTTGCCTACGGAATTTTACTCCAAGTTTTGGGATGTTTTGGGCGACGCGCTAATCAAGGTTATTAACACATTCCTAGTTTCGGGCTACGCCCCCGATTCCTTTAAAATTGGACGAGTTATTTTAATCCCTAAGACGGGAGTTTCTGGCTCTGATCCTCAATCGTGGCGGCCAATCACGCTACTAAACGCGGATTACAAGATACTAACCAGTCTGTTAAGTAAGCGACTTCGCGATATTTTGCCCGTGATCATTAGTCCGTTTCAGACGTGCAGCGTCCCCGGGCGCACGATCTTTTCTTCTTTAACTTTAACGAGGGACCTTTTTGCATACGCGTGTTCAAGATCTCTTAACGGTTGTTTCATTTCTCTTGATCAAACCAAAGCTTTTGACAGAGTTGAGCACAATTACCTCTTTTGTGTCTTAGCTAAGTTTGGATTTTCTAGTCTGTTTATAAATTTGTTAGAAAGTTTGTACTCAAACATGTCTAGTGAGCTTTTAGTAAACGGGCGCCTGACAGCGGCTTTCCCCGTAACGAGAGGAGTGCGTCAGGGCTGCCCGTTATCGCCACTGCTTTTTGTTTTGTGTATCAATCCTTTGCTTCGTAGAATTCACACAAGCGAAAATGTTCGGGGTTTTCCGCTTCCGGGGCTAAGTACAGTCTCTGTCTCAGCGTATGCTGATGATGTTTCTTTATTTTGGCGCGACAATGACAGTTTTCTGGCAGTAGATCGTATCTTTTCAAACTACTCCGCGCTGTCTGGGGCTCAATTGAACCCCAGGAAAAGCCAAGCTTTGTCTTTTGGTTCGTTCCCGCGTTCTTCACTTGGTGTTATACAGTTTGTCCAAACTGTTCATGTACTAGGCGTACCTTTCTCGCGCGAGGGAGTGTCACCCCTGGCTTGGGACGAGGTCTTCGGTGAAGCTCGAACACAAGTCCGGCTGGCGTTGTTGTTGTTGTTGAAAAACTTTATTGAGTTGAAAGATTTAGGAAAGGGAAGGGGAGAAAGGGGAAGAAAAAGGAGAGAGTGGTTGTGTGCCCCTATTCCGGGGCTCCAAGTGCGGAGTGAACTCGGAGTGCTCGGGCCACGAGCAGCCTCTGCTCGCTAGCCGTCGCGTACTTGAGTCCCGCTTCCCACTCCTCGAGTTTGGGCTCCTCGACTGGAGCCAGTCCTGGGAGGTTCTTGCATGCCCAGACAACGTGATAAACGCCCACCCAGGGCTCACCACAGATGGGACAGTCCGCCGTGGCGTACCGCTCTGGGTACCACAGATGTAGCTGGATCGGTGTGACGAACGTGTCCGTCTGAAGTCGTCTCCACGTGAACTCTTCTTCTTTGCTGAGACCTTTGGCCGGCCCAGGATATTCTGCCCTATGTGTTCGTAGAGCCTTTAAGGCCTCACTGTAAGTGAGCGCACTGTCCAGATCCCTCTGGGGCAGAACCGAGTCCCGGTATAACGCACCTCGGGCCGCAGCATTCGCCGCCTCGTTTCCGACTTGCCCCATATGGCCGGGGGTCCAGATCAGATGTACTCCCTCTACTGCGGTTTTGCGGAGGAGCCTTAGAGCTGGTTGACCCACGACCCTTCGCGCAAAGTTTTGACAAGCTCTTTGTGAATCCGAAATTATCGTCGCACGAGGATTGCAAACCACCGCCAATGCTATGGCCGCCTCCTCCACTTGTTCAACCGTCTGCGCTCGTATGGAGGCGACGCGTCTGATCTGCCCTTGCGCACTGACCACCGCTATTGCAGCCACCCCCAGCACCGGACCGGCCC